AGGATTGTGTTTCAATTATGGGCATCCTCTTGGCTCCATTTGGTGCCATCAAAGAATGGTCATACCCAGTTTACTAATTGAAATATCCCCGTTACACATAGATGACTATAGATATTGAATAAAATTAAATGAAGAAAATACTAAACAAATGGCGAGATGTATTTACATGTATTGTATTCTTTTTCATATGTATCGTTAAACGTTCATATGGCATATGATGTTTAATTCTGTTCTCCAAGAACCAATCTGGCCCCAGGTTTTCGAAGCTCTCTTAGACTTAAGATAGTCGTAAGTGCCATACTTTGACATTAACTTACGACTATGTTAGCTCTAAGAGAGCTTCGAAAATCTAGGCCCTGGACCGTGAAGATCCCGGGTTAGAATTGGTCTGCAGTAGCCCATCCTTGTCGTAAGAGGCGACTAATGGGGTGGGATGGTCATCGTATCCCATTTGCCTAGATCGATGCTCATACTGCTGATCACTGGATTGCCTTATCCAGACTCGTTTTTTACAGCACATGGCTGGAATACTTGTATAATCATATGGCCCTTGCCCCTGGACCTCTCACAATACAGCTGGTTGTGTCCAAAATATGGAACCGCTGTTCTTTGTTTTTGACAGAGCATACCGGAATAAAAGAAGTTGTATATCCATAATAATTGTCATTATTCTTCAGAGTATACAGACTTGATATGTTCTTGAATCAAACTGTTGTTCCACTGTCATGTGACAACAATGATATCTGCTGATGTCTTATGTGAAAGCAGAAATGCATAAAAAGGAAAATTCACTTATACATTTTTTAAACAGAAGCACAAAATATTTGATATATGTACAACACATACACATTGAAGTACAAGCAATAAGCATTATCTTAATAGAGACATATGTGCACATATATAAACTGTATCACCACAAAACAAGTGATATATGGTATTAATGCCAAGAATATAAACCCTGATAGTTATAAACAATTTTTATGCCGCTGAGGACCATGCCCTTATCAAGAAACTCATTCCCCATTAAAGATTGGTTGTTTTAGATGGTAGATGGCTAGTGTTATTCATCTGTGAGGCAGTGAATGTGTTTGGTTTAATGCTGTTTTGAACAGCATTTCTGTTGTAAGGTATCCCAGGGACAGATCCAGAGGGGTGGGGGTGGGGTGTGTGTGCAGGGGGTGCTCCTTGAGCATTACCCCCTAACCTTTGGAACATGGTGGCCAGTCCCCATGATAAGAGTCTCTGACTTAAAGAATATCTTCGTGACTGAAACAGGCTTCGGCAATCCTCCCTCAACCATTTGCATTTTCCTAATATCTACATTTGGTAGGTCGATAATATGTAAATGAAACTCAATTGAGACTGTGAATGTATTCAAAGGTAAGTGTAGGTCTACCACAGTGTGAGTATACCATGACTTGCCAGCCAGTTGTGGGAGGTGTCTCTACCACCATGACACACGGCATGGGTATTACACCAACAGACCAATGATTATAGTCAGGACTTGAATCATTATTGAACAAACCTTATGGATAACAACATCTATATTTCGTGAGTGCGATGTTTCCATACAGATTCTTGTACCGTTGTCAAGCAGGAATGTGAGTTATCCATAAAGTTTGTTCAATATTGTAGTCCCAACTTCTAATAGGGCAGCATTTTTGTTTGTGTGTGTGTGTGTGTGTGTTTTTCTCATCACCCGACCGACCCTTCTAATTTTATTACCGACCCCTTAAAATGTTTTTTTTTGTCATTCCAACACTGCCGACTCGAATCTAAAACGTACCACCTCGTCATATAAAATGTTTATCTATCTAAAATGTTTTTATCAGTCGCTGCCACAAGTCCAAAGAACGCGAGAAATGGTAATAAGAATTACAATAAATGAGAATCAAGAACATTATTCGGATAATTATGTCTTCATCAAAAAATTTGTTTTAGATTTTTTTCTCCTGACCGACCCATGTTCAGAATTTGGTGGCTACGTGAAACACATAAAATTACAAATGGTGCCCAAATGCCATTCAAATAAGGATTTGAATCCATGACCATAGGATCCTGGTATGCTCAAGGGATACAACTCAGTCTGCTTCCCCCCCCATTACAAGAAAATCTAGTCAATATTAACAGGATACTCATTTGTAAGTGACAATAAAGAGATCAAATCACAAGTCACTTGTATTATATTCATAATCTTGGACTCAAACATCAACGTCTCATGTCCATAACAAATTACAAAGGGAGCTGTAATAAATACATTAGCTATGCACCTTATTAGATATTGTTTTACTAGTGCATGAGTGAGTTTTGTTTGACGCCACTTTTAGCAATACTCCAGCAATATCACAGCTTGGGACACCAGAAATGGGCTTCACATATTGCACCCATGTAGGGAATCGAACCTGGATCTTCGGTGTGACGTGTGTGAACGCTTTAACCACTAGGCTACCCCACCTGCCTACTGTTGTAGTACATATGTATTGAACATTAAATGCCCAAAAGCATGCCAAGCAGAAAACAATATCTACTGCAGGTAGGTAGTGATGTCTACATATTGACTGAGTAAATACCAAAGATAAATGAGACATACAGAAATTGGCATGGAAATATTCTCATACACTGATTTGAGAAAACAATATATTTAGGTTCTGTAGGTTTTAGAAGCTAATGATCTCCAGGACCAACACCAGAATGATTGCCAACTTTAGACACAACTGCAAATAACATAATATTCTGTGAAGTACATGGATTTATCATCCAAAACTGTGTTCCAAACTGTGTTCTGGACCAGACAATCCAGTGATCAACAGCATGGGCTTTGATCTACGCAATTGGGATATGATGACATGTGTCAACCAAGTCAGCGAGCCTGATCACCCGATCCCGTCAGTCGCCTCTTAAGGCACAAAGCCTAGGGGTGTAGGGCAGATGGATAAGGTATCCTTTAACATACATGTATACCCATCTGTAGGTTTAAACAATATATTCTTATGAAGGCTGGATCTTCTTGAATTTAATATATATACAGTATGTGTAGTAGTAAGTGTCCTGCTCTGGTAAACTTAATAACCATCATTCTGGGTCAATCTGTAAGTAATCCTTCGAAGGAGCTGGAGAAAACACTAAGTGATAATACATGCTTTTCCTGATTTGTTTACAGCTGTTTAGAAAGGGCATATAAATGCATGCTTCTATTACTACAACCATATCCTTATATACATTTGAACTACTTGTTTTTAGGCAACAGGCATTAATTGTGTAAGATTTTAATAAAAGGCTACCATTGCAAATATTCAACGCAACTTGGTTGCTGCACACGCTTGCATACTGATCTAGATGGAAAAAATGTCTTTAACAAAAATATAATAACAAAATGTAACAAGTGAGCTTAACATGCAGGGTAATTTGATATGCATTCCCACAAATTCTATGACAGTCCTCACAACACAAGTACAGGAAAGACAGGTAGCAGTAACTGATGACAAGATGAGCAGTTTCTATAGCACCGTTGAAGCAACAATTCATTTAATATTCTAACAATGAAATGCGGGTACAGAAGAGTATCACTCATTCTGCTCTTCTACTAGTCAAAATGCCATTCAAACATCCACTATTTATAGTCTTGCTGCCTAGGAGACATATATTGAACAGAATCCTGTGTAAAAAGCATTAAATGCATCTTCTAATCACAGTTTTTTAGCAGATTATGTCTTTGTTCAATTACTTGGCATGGTACACTGTGAAAAGCATATGCAAGTGTTGCATTGTTAAGCTGAAACAAGCTGTGAAACCCATATATATTGTGTTATCATGCTGTGAAATCCATATATTGTGTTGTACAGCTATTACATGCTGTGAAACCCATATATTGTGTTATCATGCTGTCATTTGCTGTGAAATCCATATATTGTGCTGTAAACCTATTATGTCCTGTGAAATCTTTACATTCTTTATTAAGGCTGGTGTATGCTGTGAAACCCGCTACATTTTGTATTGGGTTGTCTGTCATGTTTTAACCGTATACCCATATATTGTGTTGTCTGTCTCTTGTATGCTGTGAAACTCATACATTGTGTTGCCTGTCTGTTGTATGCTGGGAAACCCATATACTGTGTTGTCTGTCTGTTGTATGCTGTGAAACCCACATATTGTGTTATCTGTCTCTTGTATGCTGTGAAACCCATATATTGTGTTGTCTGTCTGTTGTATGCTGTGAAACCCATATATTGTGTTGCCTGTCTCTTGTATGCTGTGAAACCCATATATTGTGTTGTCTGCTGTGAAACCCATATATTGTGTTGTTTGGTTGTTGTTGTATGCTGTGAAACCCATATATTGTGTTGCCTGTCTGTTGTATGCTGTGAAACCCATATATTGTGTTGTCCTGTCTCTTGTATGCTGTGCAACTCATATATTGTGTTGTCTGCTGTGAAACCCATATATTGTGTTGTTTGGTTGCTGTATGCTGTGAAACCCATATATTGTGTTGTCTGTCTGTTGTGGGATATAAAACTCATACATTGTGTTGCCTCTCTGTTGTATGCTGTGAAACCCATATATTGTGTTGTCTGTCTCTTGCATGCTGTGAAACCCATATATTGTGTTGTTGTATGCTGTGAAACCCATATATTGTGTTATCCTGCTGTCATATGCTGTGAAATCCATATATTGTGCTGTAAACCTATTATGTGCTGTGAAATCTTTACATTCTTTATTAAGGCTGGTGTATGCTGTGAAACCCGTTACATTTTGTATTGGGTTGTCTGATGTGAAACCCATATATTGTGTTGTCTGTCTCTTGCATGCTGTGAAACCCATATATTGTGTTGCCTGTCTCTTGTATGCTGTGAAACCCATATACTGTGTTGTCTGTCTGTTGTATGCTGTGAAACCCACATATTGTGTTGTCTGTGTCTCATATATTGTGTTGTCTGCTGTGAAACCCATATATTGTGTTGTCTGCTGTGAAACCCATATATTGTGTTGTCTGCTGTGAAACCCATATATTGTGTTGTCTGCTGTGAAACCCATATATTGTGTTGTCTGCTGTGAAACCCATATATTGTGTTGTCTGCTGTGAAATCCATATATGGTTTTGTTTGGCTTCTAAATGATGTCTTTAGGGTGTAATCCCTGGGTGTCAGCAGCTACAGAAGCGTGAAATCGTGGTCAGTCTGTAGCTTCTGTGCTGCCACTTGGTCCAGAGTGAACACTATGTCTTTAGGCTGTGGATAGCCCCCTGTGTGGCGCTGTGGGGCGTTCATCTGGAAGAAGGTTTCATGGCTCACTGACCGATGGCCGTACACACTGGCGGTGTGAGATCTGGAATGTCAAACATGTTGGATAGTGAGTAAACTGACAGTAGTGCTTACAAACTGTCCATTGCCTAGCTACCGACTTTACACACACTGTCTACTCTCCACTCACAGCACTATGTCTACAATTCATATACAGACTCTGTCTACCCATGAAGATCAAGCTTAGAATTTGTCTTCAGTAACCCGTGCTTGTAAGAGGCGACTAACGGGATCGGGTGGTCAGGCTGGCCTACTTGGTTAACACATGTCATCATACCTCACTGAGTCACTGTAGATCTATGCTCATGCTGTTGACCACTGGATTGTCAGGTCCAGACTCATTTATTTACAGAATGCCACCATATAGCTGGAATAATGCCGACCAACCAAACAACAACAACAAAAGGCGGAGTCTGTCTGCAGTCCACGCACAGCCCTATGTCTACGAACCTAAGCAAGATGTCTGCCATGGTGGGGTTCTGTTGAAAGTAGTGATGTATCTTGGTTGACGTCCCCACAAACTCGTGTGCTGCCCCCGTCACCGACTCCATCACGTTCCCTGCAGACAATATCAGGACAGTGATCATACTATGACTAAAGCTATGGAAACAAGCTCTACTGCTGCTTTGAACCTCAAACCAATTGCTGACATGAAATCCAAGAAAAACATAAATATCCAAATTTGCCAGCTATCTGTGAAATATTTAATGCTCTTTGAGTTCTGCTAGAGAAAACCAACTTGACATGAGGTATTTATTCATATATCCCCCTTCCTCTATAGTTTATCCCCCACCTTCTTCAAACCAGGATGAACTTAAATCACTTCACTGATGTACCCACCATATCATGAGTACCAAAAGCTTATGTGACAGAAATACATTAAATACATTTGAATGTGTTACTGTGGCTTTGCACAGTCAATTTTCAGTGCATTGCAGTATTGCTATGGTGCCTTCACCATTTTCCCGAATCTGTCCACTTCTTTGAAACATATCGGTTATGTCTGTACTTGAAAGAACTATCACGTCTATATGTGTCATATTGTGACATGCATGCTGGACATCGAACTGGACATGGACGGCCAGGGCACCGAGACATACTTACCTGAGACATTCCTCGTGAAGCTGTCGTATCGGAGAAAGCTGTAGCTGCCAACGCCACGCTATGGAGTAATAACACACTGACATGTTGAATCATGGGAATTACAGCCGGAGATTGGATGACATGAATTAAAGGTTACCCTTTGTCTTGACACACAAATATCATGTGAAAATTTGAAAACCTGGCATCTTCTATGGTAAATTCATGAGTAATATCTATGAGATGATCTTTCATTAAGTGACCGCTTCCGTGGTGTAGTGGTTAGAGCGTCCGCCCGGAGTGCGGAAGGTCGCGGGTTCGATCCCTGACCGCGTCATACCAAAAGACGTTAAAATATGGTACTTGTTGGTCCCTGCCTGGCGCTCGGCATTAATGGGTACAAGAAGGACTGGTCGGCTCGGAGTCAGTATAATGTGTCTGAGTGGGGTATTCATGCTTCACTGCGGCATGGTATCTCAGTGGGATAGCACTATAAAATCAGCTTCAGTCTGGGCTAGTACAAGCAGCCGCACATACACATTCACACGCATGCACGTCGTCATATGAGCGAAATATTCTCAAGCACAACGTTAAACCCAATTCCACCACCACCTCTTTCATTAAGTTCATATTTCTCTATATTTTGACCATGAAAACTATCGTGAAAATGTTACTGTTAAAATAAAAAATCACTTTTGTATTTGTGCCATTTTGTAGTTAGGATGGAAAGCATCACTTTTGAACAAGTTTTGAGTTAAACAGTACAAATACTGATGAAACATGTCATTCTAACTTTTGCACACAATATACTGGAGTAAGTGAGTGAGTTTAGCTTTACGCTGCTTTTAGCAATCTTAGAGCAATGTACGGCAAGGGACACTAATAATGGCTTCACACATTGTACCCATGTAGGGAATCCAACCCGGACCACTAGGCTACACCACTTACCCCAATATTATACAACACAGACTAATTACTGCAAGATCTGTCATTTAATAGGTGTATTGCTGTGTTATTGTACAAGAACTGGCTATTGATATAGTTCATGGAGATTGATAATTTGTAACTAAATATCGATCGATTATTGATAAATATCGGAGACATAACTTAATCTATTGTGAGAAAGTGAAAACATTTTTCTATCACAAAAGTTAATGTATGACATTATTGATAACACAGTTTTCATATCAATAATCATTAATAATTCTTCCTATTGACGATATTTCCGTTTATCAATCATTGTAGCCAGCCCCAACTTTTATACAAAAACAGAGTGCCATGGAAGAATACTGATAACTTTTTGTACAACCTGTACAGTTTGAATATCTCTTGAATGGAAGTTTCACACATTCTGTTTGAGTTATTCTGCTCATGAGAGACAGGAAGAAATGATTCACCTCCTCTGCGTTGTGTGACTCGAGGCTTTCCTTCACTTCAAAGTCCAGTTCAGCAAGAAGGGGCAGAGAACCACGCCACTGTTTAAAATAATGAAAGGCAATTAACCTGGACAATAAACAGGCCTACCAAATAAAACTTTCCCACTGTGCAGAAAATGCAGAAAAGCTCACATTAATCGTGGAAATAGCAACATAAACATAATACCTCGTTACTGAAACAGTAAAAAGGCAACTTTAAATCGCTTACACTGCATCATAAAACAAGGAGCCCGCAACTTCGATTTTGCGCATGCGCACATGGAAGAGTAAGTCTCGACCGCATGTTGACATTTTCCAGCTTGGACAAAAGTTACAAAATCCTTTTTAAGTATTTCTGTTGTTATTTGGCATTTATCATCATGATACTTGTGTGCACACTTGTTTAGTTTACTTTCCATTCGTATGAAACGATTGACAGCAATTATTTCGACATATTTGATACTTTTTCTACTCGATGCTATTCACGGTTGCTCGGAAATTGGAAAGAAGCACGGATCGTAATGTGCATGCGCAGTAAAGTCAAAATTCGCTGATATAAAAATGTTGCAGTTTCATAGTTTTTCGTTGCAGTTTTTACTGTTTCAGTAGCGAGGTAATGTGTTAATGTTGCCATTTCCACGATTAATGTGGGCTTTTCTGCGTTTTTCTGCACAGTGGGAAAGTTTTCTTTGGTAGGCCTGATAAAGAGACAGTAATGGTCTGCTTGCCATCAGTCTTCACCATCAAGTTATGCTGACATGAATCACGTCATGTTTATAACCAAATAAAATTACATGAAAAGTAGCTGTTGGGTATACAGCTTTTTCCTCATTTCAAAGGAAATCATTTGTAATACTAATGATCACATTAAGACGAGATGTATCACTCAATACAACTTCAAATACAAGTTTAGCTAGATGTTAGCGAAGAGAGATGTCATCTCAGAGTAAAAGATCTCATTTTAATGGGACTGCTTCCCCAGATGAAGGTTTCATGATGGCAGTCTACACTGAAATATGCTTGAAATAGTCATGTGTGGCTGTTATTGGGCAGCATAATCCTAAAGTCAGTCAGTCAATATATACTCCTCACAAAAAATTAAGCAACAAGTGTATTTTTGGTCAGTACATATGCCTTTACTCATGATCATTACAACTGAATCAAACATAACAAAGATAAAGCATATCCACACACTTTTCCAACAAAGAAATCAAAATTCATTGAACAATAACTGACTTGCAAATCATCAAAAACAGTGTCACTGAAAAAGCCGTGCAAAATGTGTTGCATCAGGGTATGAAAATGTCTGAAAACACTTTTACTGTCAGTTTTGAGCACTGATCCAAAGTTTAATAACGTGTATGGCCACCATTGACCTGAATAAGTCTGTTGTGGAATGTTCTGCCATTCTCTCCGCAATGCCTGTTCAAGCTGATCCAGAGTCTGAGGGAGACGACGTGGAGGCCGTTCACACGCCTTCCGAGGATGTCCCAAGCATGTTCAATAGGATTCAGGTCAGGAGACCTTGCAGGCCAGTCCATATGGGTGATGTTGTTGGTCTGAAGAACATCAGTGACAACTCTTGCTCGATGTGGACGGGCATTGTCATCCATGAAGATGAAGTTAGGACCTGCTTGCTGAGCCCACGGAATGATCACAGGTGTGACAATTTAGATCGCGGTACCCCCACACCTGTCATGGTACCTCGTCCTGATGACCACAAGATCAGTTCGTCGTCCAACTTGGATTCCTGCCCAGATCATCAAACTCCACCTCCATACTGATCATGTTCAGCAATCGTACGGTTGGCGTATCGTTAATTCACGGTTTCTCCACCGAGCCCTACCATCATTGAAGTCCAGACAGAATCTTGACTCATCTGTGAAGAGAACATTACGCCAGCGTGACTGACTCTCCGAGTCTACGTCGTTGGTTAGCTAATTCAGTCTCTGTTGACGATGGTGTGCAGGCAGTGGGATCACGTTGCACTGGTCTTCGGACCTGAGACCTTCAGCAAGGAGTCTGTTCCTCACTGTCTGTGTGGAGATTCTGTTCCCAGCAACTCTCTGGAGGTCATTCTGGAGAGATCTGGCTGTGGTGAACCTGTTCCGCCCGGGCTAGGGTGGCCAAGTATCGGTCCTCTCCGGAGTTGTCACCCTTGGGCGACCTGGCGTGGTCTCTCAGTCATCAATCGGTCTGTTGGTGACAGTGATGCGCTCTGGAGATGGCAACCGATGAACATTGAAATGGTTGGCAACAGCACTCTGGGTCTGACCCCTGCACCATTCCAACAATTTGAGCAACTTCAATTGGTGTCAAGTGGCGCTTCTAGCCATTTCTCAAATGTTACTGTCAACAATTTGTCGTTGCTGGCAGTTTTAGCATAATCAGAACGCATGTGCGGCGTGTATAGCACATGTTTTCCATGCATTTTGCATGTGAGTTTTGAGGGTGGTTTGCGTTCGGCGGTGCTAACAATGTTATCAGAAAAACAATATGGGAAATGCTTTAAGTTCATCAATCGTAAAGGGTTCTCCTGCATGGCTTATATGCCAAGTAATAACTTCATATTGAAGAAAATATGTGGAAAAAATACTTGTTGCTTAACTTGTATCAGTATAATTGACTGACTCATAAAACTATAAAACTATAGACCGAAATCATGTACATTTCAAGATCAAGCATTTCATTAACATTTACTCTTGCAGGACATCTAGCCTGGACATATAAAAAAGTTCAAAATTTTTGTGGTAAAACCGGAGACAAAATAGTATGTTCAAGATAATTGTACACCCCCACCAGCAACCCCTGTCTGTCTTCCCCTTTCAAGATCCAGGTTAACACTGGTCTCCAGCAACCCATGCTTATCTCCCCTTGAAAATTCAATATAAAACTGGTTTTTAGCAACCCATGCTTATCTCCCCTTGAAAATCCAATGTAAATCTGGTCTTCAGCAAATCATGCTTATCTCCCGTCTCTCCCCAACAATGGAAAATCCAGGTTAAAGCTGGTCATATGTCTATCTTAGGCTGGTCACATGTCCTGACTTAAAGGGACACTGATCCAGAGCGATTTATGTTTCTCGCCAACAGTCTAATTACGAAGCCAAGCTGCAGACAGGTCAGTACCTGCTCCCTCGACCCTGACGGACACAGGAACTGGGCTGCTGAGCACCTTGGCAGAATAGCTTCAATCAAAACAGTGGGACATTAGGAAGGGTGGATGTCCGTTATTTGAAAATATCCGTAAATAATGACTGATCCAATCTGATCCTATTTCTGTGTTTTTTACCTTGATATTCAATCATGTCCTGTAAAAATATGATGCTTATTTATGCTATGATATTAAAAACACACATTTGATGTATTTGAATCCGTAAACTAAACAACCCCACTTTGCCATTGCTAGAAAAGTCTGAAAATTTACTTACCGGTAGGTAAATAGAGGTATATACAGTTTTTAGCTTAAGTACACAGCAAATGCTTATATGCATTTCTTATGCAACAATGAAGTTCCGTTCGTATCCTCAAAACTGTCAGCCCATAGTTTTTTTTCATGTTATTCATGTTAGCCCATGTTATTTGTCATCATTCACTTGATGGTCAGTTAATGAATTTATAACTGTTATAATTAGTGGTAACACCACTCAGAGGTTCCCATTTGGCATTTCTAGTGTCTGGAGTAAATACTCAACATTATAAATTAAGGTCTGATGTGGCAATGTATTACATCTTATCTAATATGCGCATGGAAGTGCAGCAAGAGGAATTATCAGCTGCGTTATAAAAACAAACATCGATCAAAGGATCAACCGATAACACGCTGATTGATTAATTACATTTATCTTGCACAGTGAATTTGTCAAAAGGTAGTGTTTATGTATGTAGATTTACTAATCTACACTGAATACACCCTGTCGTTAAGTGCCTGTGTAAAAACGTCCTCCCTTCAAAGGATTAACCGCCAATACATTGATTGATTGCTCATTATTGGCTAACTAAATTACTTTTTTAAAGAATGATGGACACCATGCAATTAGGTGCCAGGTGTGCTATCTTGGGTGACCAATGAGACTATACACTAATGTGAAATACCTGAAACAATATACCACTGTTTCCAATTTGACTGTTGAAAGACACATGGCATGGAGCAGGATTCTTTGTCAGCTGCAGATGAATGGCATATCGTTCCTTTATGTGGATATTGATGGATACATTCCATAGCCTGACACTTGTTGCTATTACTTTAGTCTGTTATAATTTGAATATTTGCATTTTGTTTTTATTCCTTTGTTGTAGCATATTACAGAATCATGTTTTTTTGCCGTAAAGTGAAATGAGACAGACAACATACACTAGGTTGCATTTAGGGCGTGTGTGTGAAATAATATATAATCGTAGTTGGCAAACTATAATATGTCTAGATATTAATTACAGTCATGTTATAAATTCACAATAAGTATAAGCAGATCGTGTGCATTTTATTAAGTTTCAAAATGCATACAAATATGATAAAAACTAATTTGGATCATAAGACAAAACATATAGACGTACATTGACTTCGTTATTTTTCAGTCCAAACATTTTCTACCACTAGCAGATGGTTAAACTTCAAAATGTTTTCATTTGTTATCAAAATAATGAAGATGGAAATATTAAAGAGTAAAAAAGATTTCCTCTTTGTTGAACAGTCTATACTATCAATTACGCATACGGGTCGCGCAGCACAGGTGACGAACCAGTCAAGAATTCTGGGATATCATCCGGGTACTCACGGGAGGAAAACAATAACAAAAGCAACAACCAGTCCATGGAAATTGCTCTGGATCAGTGCCCCTTTAACAGTTGTGTCGGACTCGCTGACTAGGACAAAGCATCCTATCCTAATTGTGCATAGCAATTCCTGTAATGTTAATTACTGGATTGTCTGGTCCAGACTATTATTCTGAGGATCCTGTCATATAACTGGAATAATGCTGAACACGCTGTTAAATAACAAACAAACAGACTGATCATTCAACCATAGGTTCCACCTACCAGCTCGGTAACCAGAGGCTTATCACACTTGACCCCATTCTCCAGCAGCAACAGCAGCAACATTTCTGAATGACCTTGAACATAGAGGGTAAGGTCGACCAGTCCATCACTCTCCGCCATCCAGCTCCCGCTGGTATCGCCTTCACTCTGGGAGTAAGACGAGGACACGTAACTCTCCGAACTGGGAACAAAGTCAATATTTTTGGACTCTGTAGTTGGCGATTTCCATGGCCACCCTGTATTTTGGTCTGTTGTCGTGGAAACAGTATGGTCATCTGTGAACTCTAAAGTTTCCTTGTGTGAGGACATACAATCATCTGACACGGAAGAAACAGTCCCACCGCTTCGTCCAAATGGTTTATCATCACACGATTGGGGAGTAACTGCATCGTTCTCAGAATCTGTCACTCCTGCCGGTTCAGACTGGTTCAGACTAGTTCTTGTCACATGACCTCCATCCTCCGCTATGTACTCATCACTTGTGCCTCTAAGGGCTGAGTGTGAAACACTGCTTATTTCTGGTGAGCTTGTCGACCCTGAAAAGTTTTGAACTTCTGACTCGATTTTTAAATCTCCATCTAATCCTGTATGAGCTGAGATTTCTGACTCATTTTGTCTATCACTTGAATGGTGTCCCAAATCTAATTCATTTATTGATTCAGTTTCAGATTTTGCAGCAGTTTTTGAACTGTCATTTACAAAATCAACATTACTAGAGCCAGTTTCAGCTTTACTTTTGTCATCTCCACTTTTGGATACATCTAGTTTTGGACCTGCAGAAGATTCACAAACATCAGATGTAAGGCTGGTATCTTCATTAACACTGCTAGAAGTTCCTTTTTGATTATCACAGTCTTGCTCATCACTAGGTGTAAGGGAAGTAGCATCTTCCCTATGATAAGGTCTGTCACTACTTACAACACTGTTTCCCAAACTGGCAGAATCTACCACGACCAGTCCATCTTCATTTGATTTACTGTCATCCATATCTTTCTTTGCACAACTTCCATCCTCAGACAAAGACTTACTGACTCCATCAAATCTCCTGATGTCAATATCTTTTTCTGTCTTAAAACCTGAATCCGAACCACTTTCAAACTGTGTGTGCTTTTCAGGTACTTTGTTATCTTTGTGAATTATCTCCCTTGTTTCTCCAGATTTAGGCAGATATGTTTCCCCTTCAAATTTCACAGAAGACCTTTCCTGAGATTTAATATTTGTCTGTATCACTTTGTTTGTTTGTAGAGATTCTGGTTCATTGTCAAAATCTGGATTTCCCCCACTCAAGATCCTCTGCACTATATCTTTCAGCGGAGGGGGGAGTTCTGGTGAAACGGCACTGTCACAGTCCAGAGTAGGAACTGATGCAAGATCTGCAGGCATCTGAGCATTTGTGTCAAACAGCAGGAATTGTCTGTTGCTGGACGGTCTGGGTTTGGACTTGAGTGAGGTCTGTCTGCGCCCACTCATCCTGCAGTATTCCTGTGAAGGCAGGAAGACTCTCAGGAGCCGCAGACCACCTGGCAACTCAAAGTCTGAAACGTGAGTGAGTGAGTTAGTTTTATGCTGCTTTTAGCAATATTCCAGCAATATCATGGTGGGGGACACCAGAAATGGGCTTCACACATTGTACCCATTGGGGAATAAAACCCAGGTCTTGAGCGTGACGAGCGGACGCCTTAACCACTCGGCTACCCTACTGTTCAAAATCTGAAAAGAATATTACTAATACACTATTGAAGCGAGATTTGAGGCTAGAGTGAGTGAGTTTTACGCCGCACTCAGCAATATTCCAGCTATATGACAGCAGTCTGTAAATAATATCTGGGCCAGACAATCCAGTGATCAACAGCATGAGTATCGATCTACACAATTGGGATATGATGACATGTGTCAACCAAGTGAGTGAGTCTGACCACCTGACCCGGTTAGTCGCCCCTTACAACAAGCATGGGCTATTGAAGATCAATTCTAACCCAGATCTTCACGGGTCATTTGAGGCTAGAATTGGTCCAAGCAACCTATAACTAGTCAAAAGAGGTGACCATTTAGACGTGTTCAACTCCACACTCAGCTATATTCCACCTAATTGGAACTGCAGGCACACGTACAGTATTGTCAATATCTCTTTGTTACTATCGACCAAAAAAACCTAGTATACCTGTGCAATCTATAACAAACCCACTTCCATTGATATTAAATTCACTAAACCTTCAAGAAGCTGACATATAAAGTGTCAAATGAATTTACCATTGTGACTGTTGAAAGTTATATAGATGGCTGGGTGTATCGAGATGTTCTCTAATTTAACATATCTTACCTGGTTTTATTTCTTGACATGGCAGCTGCAAAAGAAAGGGGAAAAACCAACAGTTTATAACAGGGCATGTACAAACAATCAACCCTCAATTTGAAATCCTTTTTAGAGCCTTTTCAGGCACAATCATGAGCCCAATCAAGGCCATATAACAAAAACATCGCTGTGCTGGGAAAGTTTTGCTTCCTGATGCCATTGCAAGGTTGTTTTTGTGTATTAGTTTCTTATAAAATCATAACCTACTAAGAATTTTTGTCTAAATTGAAGCTTTTCCCATGCAAATGACAGGTAATTAAGGCCTTTTCAAGGCTAAAATGCATTTAGGGCAAAACATTTAAATTTGAGGCTTCTTCAAGCGAGTGTGAACCCTGTACAATATTGAAATGATGAAATTACACAACAAATTTCAGATCTTATGAAACAACGCCGGACAACATTCATAAAAAGGAGATTTCTGGACGTCAACTTCTGTGATGTGATACAGACTGAGTTGGATCTGTCCTGACAGTGAGCTACAGAGGTTCATGATCCCAGTACATACAGGATTCTGTTGATACAGACTGAGTTGAATCTGTCCTGACAGTGGCTACAGAGGTTCATGATCCCAGTAGATACAGGATTCTGTTGATACAGACTGGGTTGAATCTGTCCTGACAGTGGCTACAGAGGTTCATGATCCCAGTACATACATGATTCTGTTGATACAGACTGAATTGAATCTGTCCTGACAGTGGCTACAGAGGTTCATGATCCCAGTACATACATGATTCTGCTGATACAGACTGAGTTGAATCTGTCCTGACAGTGGCTACAGAGGTTCATGATCCCAGCACATACATGATTCTGCTGAGTTGAATCTGTCCTGACAGTGGCTACAGATACAGACTGTTGAGAGTTGAATCTGTCCTGACAGTGGCTACAGAGGTTCATGATCCCAGTAGATACAGGATTCTGTTGATACAGACTGAGTTGAATCTGTCCTGACAGTGGCTACAGAGGTTCATGATCCCAGCACATACATGATTCTGTTGATACAGACTGAGTTGAATCTGTCCTGACAGTGGCTACAGAGGTTCATGATCCCAGCACATACATGATTCTGTTGATACAGACTGAGTTGAATCTGTCCTGACAGTGGCTACAGAGGTTCATGATCCCAGTAGATACAGGATTGAGTTGAATCTGTTGACAGTGGCTACAGAGGTTCATGATCCCAGACATACATTTCTGATATCTGTCTGTCCTGACAGTGGCTACAGAGGTTCATGATCCCAGTACATACATGATTCTGTTGATACAGACTGAGTTGAATCTGTCCTGACAGTGAGCTACAGAGGTTCATGATCCCAGTACATACAGGATTCTGTTGATACAGACTGAGTTGAATCTGTCCTGACAGTGAGCTACAGAGGTTCATGATCCCAGTACAAACAGGATTCTGCTGATACAGACTGGGTTGAATCTGTCCTGACAGTGAGCTACAGAGGTTCATGATCCCAGTACATACAGGATTCTGTTGATACAGACCGAGTTGAATCTGTCCTGACAGTGAGCTACAGAGGTTCATGATCCCAGTACATACAGGATTCTGTTGATACAGACCGAGTTGAATCTGTCCTGACAGTGAGCTACAGAGGTTCATGATTCCAGTACATACAGGATTCTGTTGATACAAACCGAGTTGAATCTGTCCTGACAGTGGCTACAGAGGTTCATGATCCCAGTACATACATGATTCTGTTGATACAGACTGAGTTGAATCTGTCCTGACAGTGAGCTACAGAGGTCCATGATCCCAGTACATACATGATTCTGTTGATACAGACTGAGTTGAATCTGTCCTGACAGTGAGCTACAGCCAGACATGGGTTTAGTGAGTGAGTGAGTGAGTTAAGATTTAAGGTCACATAGGCAATATTTCATCCATATCGTGACGAGAACATACTTGACATTGAAATGGAATATAGGTATATTATAAAAACCTGTCGACGAAGGACAGCAAAACAACTAGAATATCACAATTACAACTAAAACTAGTGTGCAAAGTTAAAACTGATAGCACTATTTGGACAGTACAAAATAAAAACTGAAGTTAGATCACCATACTAGGGCCCATCGGGACTTACAGTACCTTTGCTACCTGCATGGACCTTAGTTGGATTTACACCATCACTTCAGACGCTGGTGATTGTAGGATGAGTTTAGCCAACAGTTGAAAATAACAAAAATACTGCGTTTAAAAATCTGGTAAGTTTAAATTTAACATTCAAAGTTTTTGGACTTACGTATCCTCTCAGGAGGACAATAATTTTACGATACTTCAATCCCCTTTGAGGATACAGCTACTAACAACAGCCATAGGTTTAGGATCACAGTACATACATGATTCTGCTGTGGCTTGAGGAGGAGCAGTCTCTTTGTGACATCGGGGGACAGTTGTGAAGACAATACCCTGAAACAACGACAGGAGGGGACTTTATTTCAAATAAACGCAGAGTTAAGACATCTGAAATTTTAAACAGATTCAGGATGTCATTCAGTTTATTCAGATTTCATAAAGTGGTTGCCTACGAACAGTACATGATGTTTATCAAAACTTAATCTGAGATTAAAACATATACCGTGTAAAAACTGACCCACAGTGCATTACATTCATCTGAAATGTTATAAATGATTAAAACGTATAACATGATTTCAGGCTGGCCAACAACAAGAGAATGACTGTGGTGCCCTGTGAACCTAAGATAATTGGAAGGAAACAATATGCCAGGTGACATCACATGATGATGATGATGATAGGATATTTATATAGCTCACATATCCAGGCAACTAGTGCATGCTCAAGGCGCTGGTATTTTTCCCTCGATCATTGGATGTCAATCTCATCGGACACATAGTCACAGTACTTTGTCCAAGTTCACTGCACGCTGCTGTACCCGAAACTAGGTGTTTGCACATATTCATGTGGCCACCATCTGGTCATATACCAACGGATTCGAGGGTTATTTTAAGTGCACAGGGTTGTGTACTGTACACTAGGGGTTGTGACAACACTGAAAGAGTCTGCACACATAGTTGACTTCAGGGTTTTTACACCCGGTCACAGGTGGGCTCGATCCCAGCACCTCAACCTCGCCGGATCACTAGCCTGGCGTCTTAGCCAGCTTGCCCACCGCGCCCCCACATTACATCACAACAATTACCCTCTAACAGCTTCTGGTTATGAACTACTTGTAAGTTTAACAACACTGCCCAGACGTCATCTTCTAAACCAATCCTTGCCCAACGCTGGACAACCATGGACTTTTCCTGATGATGTGAGTGTGGGGTATTTCTTGTTTAATGCTGCCCTCAGCAATATTTCAGCTGTATGACAATGGCTGCCAAAACCATCGAGCGTGGTATACCATACAATCTAGTGATTGATATTATGAACAAGGATGATGATTATCATCAACATACTTGCTCTTGTAGAGCAGAACTCCCCCGATGACTCCGTCCTGTCGGTGACAGCGCTGCAGGATGTGTGAGGAATGGAGGAACGTCTTGGAGCTACTCTGTACAAGCAAAGGAAAAGCACATGACAATGTGATATAATTAATTCTTCTTAAGTATTCCTAGAATTACTATTGTAGATTTCTGACTGGTAGTATTGTGTGTTGTTTTAGCAGGTGTGTTTCTTTCTAGAAGACATCACATACTGACTGAGTTTGGTTTTACGCCGCTTTTAGCAATATTCAAGCCAACATCACGACGGGGGACACCTGAAATGGGCTTCACGCATTGTACCCATGTGGGGATTCGAACCCGGGTCTTCGGCGTGCCGAGCCAACACTTCAACCACTACACTACCCCACCACCCACATCACATACACTACTCAAAAGAGGTAAAGAACAAGTTAGGATGTTGAGACTATCAGGCATTTAACCATCTGCAACATTGAGATCATGCTGATGGAACTTGCACACATGAATATACACAGTAACACTTGCTATCTGAAACCCATAGTGTATATCTCCCAAAAGTCTCGAACAGGCTTGTTCCTGCCTTACATCCATGATTATTTCTTTGATGGGCATTTTAGAAGTTGAGTTGATGAAGAATGATATAATTTTTATGGATATACTATTTCTTTTATTCTGTGAAAGGCAACATTTCGACATAGATTCTAACGTCACTTGCTTGACAATGACATTAGAATCTATGTCGAAACATTGCTTTTCACAGAATAAAAGAAGTTGTATATCCATAAAAATTGTAATCATTCTTCATCCATGATTATTCTTAGATGAAAGTAGTGGCACAGAATCAGCGCTCAAGTACCTTGGAGAGTTGAACATCGGGCAGTATCTGGAACGCCTGTGACATCAGATCTCCATAGAACTGACAGAAAGGCAGGTACATATCCCAGACCTTCGCCAGATCACTTGGAAAACTTTTATGATTTTTACATCGCTGAAAACAGAAGAAAATGTTGTTTCAAACAGAAGTTAAAACAGGCAAATTAAAACTGTGCTTTATGACCTTTTTTGTCTTCAATATGAAACAAATCCGTGAACATCAATGTCCAGCTTGTGATAATCTTGGACAACTAACCTGCCTCACAGCCTCCAAACTGCCCTGGAAGAACACGAACACTTTCCACACAAACTCAAAATGATGAGTGATGAACTCATCTGGGATGAACAAGTCACAACCAAGGGCCTGCTCAAACAAATGATAACAGTTATTCAAACATTATAGAGTGTGACAGACAATATTTAATATTTTCTATGAGAATTCCTAAATGTCTTCTCAACAAGGACTAATTGCTTGTATGGTTCTTTACTTCTTATATCCAATACAATACCATATATTTCAACCAATCAAATGAAACATTGTGATTGTGAATGAGTTAACACTGCTCTGAAAACCTTTCCAACTGTGATTAAGTTTCTATCATCAAGCAGAATGTCAGAAGTGTAATGAGGCAGTGAGACCACAAGAGGATATGTATTCCAACAGTATGGGTTGGCTGGTTGTTTAGTATGATCAGTATTCCAGCTATATCGTGGCAGTCTGTAAATAAATGACTGGACCAGACAATCCAGTGATCAACATCATGGGCATCGATCTATGCAATTGGGATACAATGACACGTGTCAACCAAGTCAGTGAGTCTGACCACATGATGCTGATAGTTGCTTCTTACAAGCATGGGACCAATTCTAACCCGGATCTTCACGGGTGTGACAATATGGGTGTGATATGATTCCTGATACATGTACAATACCCTTATTTAATAATAATAATAATAATAAGGACATTTGTAGTGTGCTGAATTATGCACCATGAAAGGGCACACTCAAGTGCTACAATCTGATTATTATTACCCTGGATAACCCAAGCTGCCTGTGGTTAATAGTCACATGACTTATCCCACCGGGTACCCATTTTCTGCTGGGTGAACAGAGGCAAGTTTGAATAAACTCACTTGCCTAAGGTGAGACCACATGTATCACATGTGCTTTGTTGTGGGGCAGGACTGAAGTCCTAGAAACTCTGAGGAGTCAAACTGCCAAACATGGCCACCCATCCAAGGACTCTCTCTGCCCATCGTTGCTCAACTTAACTGATTTGTGACCTGAGCTCAAAGGTTCCTGTTCTCACTCCCTTTGCAGGTAAATTGTTTCTTTTCAAATTTCAGATACGATATTGTATTGGAGAAACATACAAGCTTTGGTGCACTGTGCACTGTGCAGATTCTGCCATTTACAGTCCTGTTCTCACTCCCTTTGCAGGTAAATTGTTTCTTTTCAAATTTCAAATTTCAGATAGGATATTGTACTGGAGAAACATACAAGCTTTGGTGCACTGTGCACTGTGCAGATTCTGCCATTTACAGTCCACCAGAAAATACTACAGAATCTGCATAAACTGTGTTTTTAAAGTTTCTGTTATTATCCACGTTTTTACATCAATATAACTTGTAATGATATGAATGTACTGCAACAGAGTTGTAAATCAATGTATTGTATCATGAGCCTTGTATTGATACTTACAACTGTGAAATCACCATGACGTTGTGTAGCAAACTTTTCTGATAGAAGTTTGATGACTCTGGGGGTGGATTGTGGCAGACAATGAAAGAAGAAGTCTGATATCCCAATCAGTTTACCCACCAGGGCACACTGGTTGTCAACACTCACCTGTGGGGAGAGAGACAGAATGAGGGAGTGAGAGAGGGAAGGACACACAGAGGGAGAGATCACATTTTCCTGTTCACTAGGACAGTCTATATATATAGATCACTGAGATCGATAATCGATAATATTGCAGACATAACCTTAAGCTAAATTGCCAAAAATGTCTGAAAGAAAAATGAATATATTCATAGGCGGATCCAGAGGGAGATTGCAGGGGTGCGCACCCAACCCTTTTGTCCTGAAAGTTCATTAAATGACCATTGAAAACGGGTGAAAATGAACTGTGCACCCCTCCACCTCCCTTTATCAAAGAGCTGTATCCGACCCTTATATTTCACATCATCATGATAATAATAATAGTGAATATATATAGCGCATTAATCCATGCTCAATGCATGCTCTAAGCACACAAATGTGTGGGTATTGAGAGTCATTCTAGAAGGGCAGTTTTAAATAAGTAGATTTTTAGCTGAGATTGGAAGGAGGCAAGAGTTGAAGACTGTCTAAGAAGATTGAGCGGGAGATTGTTCCATTCCTTTGCTGCATTGAATGCAAAGGAATGTTGTCCATAGTTACAGTTAACAGATAACAGCTGGAGACTATCCGAGCAGCTGTATTCTGGATGTGCTGGAGCTTGTTGGTAACAGACTTGGGTGCACCAGCAAGGAGGCTGTTACAGTAATCAATCCTAAATGTTACCAGGGTGAGAATCAGGATGATAAGAGATTCTTTGGTCAGGTACTTTCTGATGTTGCTGACATTCCTCAACTGGAAAGAGCACACTCAGTGAAGGGTCTGGGAATACTCTTAGACACCTGCCTATCTATGGAAGCCCACATAAATAACCTGTGCCAAACATGCTACTCTCATCTTAGAGTGATTGGCAGTATCCGTGCTCTCATCATCACAGAATCAGCTCATTCCCTTGTCCGTGCTCTCATTCTCAGCAGACTAGATTACTGCAACAGTCTCTATAATGGCCTCCCTGACACCCCTACTTGACAGACTACAAAAAGTCCAAAATACAGCCGCCCACATTGTCAGCCGCACTTCTCAACACAGCCACATTATCCCAGTTCTAAAGCAGCTCCACTGGTTACCTGTGAGAGCCAGGGTTCAATTCAAGACACTCTGCCTCACATACAAGTCCCTTCACGGCCAGACTCCACCTGACATTGTAGACCTGGCCCCGATTTCTTGAAACAAACTTAAGTCTGAGTTTTCACTCAAATTTGAGAAAACTCAATTGAGTCAAAATCTCAAACTCAGTTTGTACTTTGAGTAAAAACTTAAGTTTGTTTCGAGAAATCGGGGCCTGATCAACCCCTTCAGTCCAGACCGTGTACTTTGCTCACAGCTGCAAAATCTTCTCACAGTGTCTAACTACAAACTTAAAACCTTTGGCTACAGAACTTTCTCCTACTCTTCCCCTGTCTTGTGGAACTCGTTCCCTGTTGACCTCAAACACTCTGAAACTCTGGATTCTTATAAATCAAATCTCAAAACTTACCTCTTTGCTCAATATTATCATCAATAGCCTTAATTGTATATGCATTATGCACCTATTCATTGTAGTTTTCTGAACTCTGTATATATTATGTATGTATTTTGATGAAGCGCCAAGAGCATGCTTAAGAGCGTGGATATGTGCGCGTTACATATATATACACTATTATTATTATTATTACAAAATACACCTATCATACATATCTTACAAAACTGCTGAAAAATGCAACCTTTGGCTGTACTTAATCATTGCAAAATCAGTTGCAAGCTCAAAATCATGTCATGTGACTCGTATTGTAATCCACTGTTGGTGAGGTATTTCGAGTCTCACCAATTTCTGTTGTGCTTTCTTTGTGAGTTAAAACTGCAGGCATAGATCCTTGTATGGATAATGAATATGTCAAGAGAAACTCTATCTATTTTGCCTTTTGACTGGAAGTAGCACCAGACCTAAAATTCTGCATATGATAATTCTCTAATAGCCTTAATTTATATTCTACAACAGTTTAAATTGAAGCTGCATATATGTCATGATTTCAGCATTAAACCAGTAGCTGTCTCTCTTGATGAATATAAGTTATCAAGTCAGTACAGGTTGATTTTATCCATCAGACTGTAAAATGGGATACGCAGACAGCAATTTATGTGGTTATTGTAATAATCAAAGCGAAACAGTTGATCATCTATTCTGGTATTGCAAACACGTGAGTTCCATCTTGACACAATTTGAAAAATGGGTCAATCAGAAAGCCGATTTATCCATTAAACTAAACAAGAAAGATATACTTCTTGGCTTGCTGCTACCAAATTTTGGACCAATAAATCTTTTAATAATTGTATGCAAACAATTTATCTTCAAAAATAAAACATATAAAAAAAACAATTAATTTTGAAATGATCCAGGAAGAACTCACATGCTTTTATTTCTTTATGAAATACACAGAAAATATGTACGGACATCTTAACCAATTTACTAAGTTCTGGTCATCTTGTCACCTATTGTTTATATAGACAATTATATTCATGTGCAACTATGTACAAATGCAACAGACCGCCTCCATGGTGTAGTGGTTAGAGCGTCCACCCGGAGAGCGGAAGGTCGCGGGGTCAATCCCCGACCGCGTCATACCAAAAGACGTTAACATATGGTACTTGTTGGTCCCTGCCTGGCGCTCGGCATTAATGGGTACAACAAGGACTGGTCGGCTCGGAGTCAGTATAATGTGTCTGAGTGGGGTATTCCTGCTTCACTGCGGCATGGTATTTCAGTGGGCTAGCACTATAAAACCAGCTTAATACACATACACACGCATGCACGTCGTCATATGAGCGAAATATTCTCAAGCACGACGTAAAACCCAATTTCACCTCACCTCACCTCACAAATGCAACAAAAATAAAGAAATTATAAAAAATTAATCAAGTCAGTACAGGTTGATTTTATCCATCAGACTTACTGTGTTGGGGTAGAAGTAGACAATGGCATCCTTCAAGTCATCCTCTTCACGTTTCAGCACATTGTGGTCATATATGAAGAAACTGCAGATCTCATTTCCTCTGTTAAATATCACAAACATGGTAAGTTTAAGCAGATATACCTCAGTGACAGATCTCTTTCTGATTTATGCTTTTAAATACCCACATCTTTGTAAAGAATTTTGTTAATCAAATCATATGCTAAATGTGACATATTAGGAAAAGAAAATATGTTTGTATTAAAACATGACATATGATGTAATATGTCTCAATTCCGCAGATTGATGCTTATGAATATGATTAGTGCTGGTCATGGCTCACAATATGCAGATCAATAATTGGAGCTCAACAATAATAATAAACCCCATAACAAAACTCATGTGGGCAATAACCGGACACAATAATAACATTGTGCAAACGAAACACTCAGACACCATACAAGCTAAAGTTCAATTTGATTTTTCATTTGTATGAATATTGATTAGTCTTCCAAACCCACTGATGACAGAAGCCAGATTATCTGAGACCATGTAAGCTCCTCACAAAGAAAATACCTCTAGTTAAGTGACTGAAAAAGAGTGATGCTTATAAGTTTTAATAAATAATTACTCAAATACCTCACTATTTTGTGTTTGTTGTGTCCTTCCATATTTGTCTTCCAGTTCTTCCAACTTTTGTAACCTTTTCTAAAAGCAATCAACATGTCACAAGTATTTGTGTTTGTTGAACCTGTGAGTTTGATTAAATTTTACAAAAATATATTTGTATTATTTTCCCTTCCCACCAACTGTTACTTTGATGCTATAGTCCACTATGACGTCTTAATTTGCCACAGTTAAAGGAATCTGCCATTCAATGGAATACGTAGTTGTAGTCTTATGAAAACATGTGTTTTTGTTTTATTAACCATGTACTGGCTGCCAAACAGTTATCGCCGCGTAACAGTTATCGTCAATACATCAGTATCACACGTGTGCAGTTCTGGTCAGTTACAATTCCGGTATTTTTATTACAGTATTTGACAACAATAAAGGACACAAAAGAAAATTCTTCACAGTAAGTAACATAAGAGAAAAATAAAAGATAAACTATGAACCCCATAAATTTTTTAGACTTACTTAGTCGGGGGGATACGGAAGCGCTGAAGGGACCTGATGAAATGTAATTTATCTTGAGCGCACAAGTTAGTATATTGAGCGCACAAGTTAACATCTTGAGCGCACAAGTTAATATCTTGAGCGCACAAGTTAATATATTGAGCGCACAAGTTAGTATCTTAAGCGCAGACGTTAGTATGTTGAGCGCTCAACTTGGTATCTTGAGATACACTGCTCCATAAGCAGTTCATGGGGAAGCAAGGAGGAGTGGAAACGCGATCTGATTCATGCTTATTTCAGTCTTGGGTTCCAATACAAACACATAACACATCTTCTTGTCAAAAATCATGGTATAGTATAGTACGCCATTCGAAGCGTATTCTGAGGTGTATGTCCCTCTTTCGCACCAGATTTGTTGATGTTACAGTGAGTGAGTGAGTACGGTTTACACCGCTTTTAGCAATATTCCAGCAATATCACGGTGGGGAACACGAGAAATGGGCTGCACACATTGTACCCATGTGGGGAATGGAACCCAGGCGTGGACGAAGTGGACGCTTTAACCACAAGGCTAACACCCACCCACCCACCCCACCCAGCTGATGTTACAGACTTTATAGCGGACAACTTCGACGATCTGAACAAAGACATGATTATCATTGATGCATCAAAAATGTATCCAATGCGGTTTAATCGTGAAACAGGATACTGTACGGTCGTTGTTGGACCCGGATGGTGTTGAATTTCGCTCAGGACACTGTCGACGTGTTTATTCTTCAACTTCCTGTATTGTTAAAACATGTTAAATAAACTACAACACACATATGTATACATAAGGGATTGATACGGAAGAAGTGAAACGGGGAACACAGTAAGTCGGTATATATGCTATACGTGCACATACTAATGGATCAAATAAATCAGGCGGGTTTTATATGATATTGTACAGAGTTAAACTGCCATTGTACCCACATTAGGAAACATTACTGATACATGCAAACCAAGACTACAGACTATAGTTCCCAGAAAGTGGTCGACTTTACTTCCAATACATCAGACATTAGTTTTATAATTAAGATAATTAAGTATAACGCTCTATGTTTACATTTTTCATGGTCATGTAATACTATATATACATTATAAAGCCGTAGCACAAAACAAGTTTTCCAAGCTTTACGCTAGTGTTCATAATACTATGTACCAATATAAGAAGTAAGTAAAACCACTATTCATCCCTGCAATAAACTCCTACTCATGTTTATGTTTTAATGCTTATTATGACATTACACATACCTAGGCCTGCTTTATGTAATAAAGCAAAAAGTGGTAAAATCAGATACAAAGAATAGTATTGACAAGCATAAAGACGATGAACGTTTACATGATAAACATTATCAATGTTCATGATACATTTGCATACTTTTACATAGTCTCATCATAAACACCTATAGTTAACCCTGACTTTGCATCGTTTGAAATCTTCCAAAAAGGATATAAGTTTGTACATTTTAGCCAGCAGTCAAGCAAATGTGCGTTCCATTAATGCCATTAGATGCAAAACACAAAGTTGAGCACTCAAGATATTAACTTGTGCGCACAAGATACTAACTTGTGCACTCAAGATGTTAACTTGTGCGCTCAACATACTAACTTGTACGCTCAAGATATTAACTTGTGCACACAAGATGTTAACTTGTGCGCTCAAGATAACTACCGTATATTACCGTCTATAAGACGACCCCATGGATAAGACAACCCCCAAACTTGACCCTTTAATTCAGTGTCAAAATGGTATGTTTCGTGCATAAGTCGATCCCCCGAGATGGGGTCCTAATCGCAGCAAACACAGACAACTGGCAGTTACCAATAATTATAACTTTGGTCCACATTATTCAAAGAATTCACAATCATATATATTGCGGATCGAAACGAAGTGTAGTTGACAGAAAATGCATAATATATTTTGTTCTCTAAATATCATATTTATTGTAGCAACAAACTGGCTTGCATATTTTTACCCCATTCAACAATCACTGAACTGATTACTTTGTTTTCCATTGACTGCTAGTTTACAGTAACATCGGTAAAAATGTGTGAATTTAAATGGCTTCCGTATTTTACCCCATTCCATGTGCGTACAACTTCTGCTTACCACGTTCATGAGGGTCCGTATAACCTTAGTGTTGATTATATATATTTTACATAAAAACTGTAATTAAAATTACACAATGCTAGGTTATATTTCTTTGGGTTAAATAATAGTACTCTGTATTATATTTTATTGAGGACTGCGTCAGAATTCGTCCCGTGATATTATTGTGCATGTTTGAACTTGTTCGCTGCTGATTGCTATTTCTGGCTCAAATACACATGTTAATTTTAATTTTAATTAATTTATAGAGCAAAACCTGTAATTAAAATTACACAATGCTAGGACATATTTCTTTGGGTTAAATAATAGTACTCTGTATTATATTTTACTGATGACTGCGTCAGAATTCGTCCCGTTATATTATTGTGCATGTTTGAACTTGATCGCTTGGGAAACATGCACAGCTTATTGCTATTTCCGGCTCAGATACACACGGTAATCTTAATCCCTGCAAATAATACAATGCCCAGCAAAAACAACTTAGAACTTAAAAGGTAAATTATCTTGTCTAGTGATGTTTAATTGCAAATTTGACGTCTCTACTGACAAAGTCGTCTTCTGTTGTTTGTTAATGCGAAGTGATAACATGTTGTTTTCTTACCCCTCGAAAAAAGTTTGACGAAAGCGTAACCCATGGATAAGACGACCCCCTTCTACAGACTGCTTTTTTTGGTCCTCAAAATTCGGCTTATAGATGGTCATATACGGTAACTTGAACGCTCAATATATTAAATTGTGCGCTCAAGAAAACTACATTGAGCGCTCAATATATTAACTTGTGCACTCAATATACTAACTCGTGCACTCAAGATATTAACTTGTGCGATCAACATACTAACTTGTGCGCTCAAGATGTTAACCTGTTCGCTCAAGAAAACTAACTTGTGCGCTGAATATATTAACTTGTGCACTCAATATACTAACTCGTGCGCTCAAGATACATTTTATTTCATCAGGTCCCTTCAGCGCTTCCGTAGGGGGATGTCAGTGCCACGATCTATATAATAGCAAGTTCAAGTTCACAATTGTTCCATTCCATATAAATCTACTGTTAAAAAACAATAAAGTAGTCACACAATCAATTCTTCAAGGTTACTTTATGATGTAAATATATATCTTATTTCACGAATGACATGAGGAATTCTGAAATGGCGATAACTGTTACAGTTGGTTGTTAGAAAACTGCTATTTCTACTGCCGTGTTTTCCTTCTGCCGCGTTATATAAAAAACACGACCAGGGGCATCAAACAGGATGGACACACTGGTGAATAGCTAATGAAGTATCATAATTCTGTTTCATTAATTTAACGAACGGCAGAGTAAAACATGGGGATAACCGTTCGGCAGCCAGTAGTGCTAATAATGTGTCCCATCTCCCAGACACTGGGCTTCCTTTTGCGATGGGGTAGCCTAGCTAGTGGTAAAAGTGTTCGCTTGTCATGCTGAAGGCCCGGGTTCGATTCCCCACATGGGTACATTGTGTGCAGCCCCTTCCTGGTGTCCCCAGCCGTAATATTACTGGAATATTGCTAAAAGCGGCGTAAAACTAAAGTCACTCACTCATTTTCTCTATATACAGCTATCTGATTTCTCACAAAATTATAGATTTTTAGAGACTAAGCGTTAGTCTGAATAACATTCTCACAGTTAATTTCTCCTTTGGGTCAAACACTATATATTACTTCAATGGAACTTCTATATATTCCACAATGATTCAAATATCTTAGAGCACCTGACCGCTGAAAAGTCACGTTTTTGACCCCGCGTGGCACTGTCAGCAGCATCTGTTTGTTTTACTTTCACCAGAACAACAGACATATCTTAGAAGGCAAGCTGCAACAGAGGGTCAGAAACGCCTTAATCAGCGCAGGGCAAAACATGACACATTCTGACATCGGTAAGTTTGGACACACCTGTTTAGGTCGGCCATTTCTCCTCGTCACATGATTTATGTCACGTGATGTAAATAATATCCATTTCACACGTGAATGACCCATATACAATTTCTGCTAGGTTGATAGAAAATATTGGAGATGATAATATGGCATTGGCGACATCAAGAGATTATGTGATTATAACAAATGGCCTGCAGGTACATGTTTAATAGAATATGCTTGTTTCGTTTTTAATGCCCGTTTTGTTGTTTAATTGATTAAGGTTTCGTATAAAAAACCCGTTTCTTTTCATGTCCCAATGGAAAATACATGGATAAATATTATGATTGGAAATATTATATTTATGTAACATCATATAAATATATGATACCTATTATCTACATATCTTACCAGTTTCATATCATACGAAACCCCAGTGTATACATTATAGCTTTGCCTAAAACATCAACATGGCCGAAGCTGCGCCATGCGTTATTTCTGGTGAATGCAAAGAACAAGATGTGTTGAGTTCTGACGAGATCTCAAGTGACAGGATGTCAGGGAAGAAAAATGCAGACAGTCAAAAGCCAATATGTGTAATTGTCCTTGGTATGGCTGGCTCCGGAAAGAGCACGTTTGTCCAGGTAAATCCGTCGCTGCGCGGCGTTAGTTACAAAAATCTTAACAGTTTCGGCACTTAGAATGGGGAGAAGTGAACTTAATCTGGTGTTATCATACTTTAATTAGAGTCGGTTAGAACTTAGAGAACTCGCATTGCCAACTTGAAGCTAAGCCAGATCAAAGAGTCAACACCCTCCTACAGGGCCACTGGAGCTATGATACGTCTCCTCGCATTAGTGATCTTTTATCAATATTTAAAGTCATTAAGCAGTTGATCAAATTTATACCTTTCTAATATGAACATAGGCAATGACAGGTGCGATTATCGGAAACTCGGCCCCTGATATTTGAACCAAACCGGCCCCGAGAAGTATATATTTCTACATTGACATATGAATTGAAGTTCCTTTAACATAAATGACGAAAACACATTTCTCATATGTCTTTACATGTAATATCGATTTTTGAAAATATATTAGCGAATATTAGCGTCGATGAGAGGCAAGTGAACATACAAGTGCTGCTGATCACGGAGATCCCGTGGTAGAGGACATTTTATGTAATTTTGTTAAGAATCTAAAAGATCAGTTGCAAAACAATACTAAAGTAAAACGGGTTCAGGCTAAAACGGAACCACAGCAAAACGGCACCTGGCGAAAACGGCACCATTTGGACATAACGGAACATCGACTTGGCGAAAACGGCTACAAATCTTATGGCGAAAACGGCACCAACTAAAATCTTATGGGGAAAACTAGTTTGTTATAAGATAATCGGATTGCAGATAGTAAATACATCTACTATTATGTCGGAACTATCAAAATTTAAGAACAAGGACGTATTTTTTATATTCAAAGATACGATGTGAAAACTACTTTATACTGTAACGGCGCATTGAATAACTCAACTATTAGTGATATTCTGAACTCATTACGTTCATTTCTAAAAGTAACAGCTTACAGTAATTATCAAATCTACGTATATATTCAATGTAAGGCAAGTTTTATATATTTGATTTTCTGCGGCTGCTCATTTCGTTGCTAGGCATATCCAACACTATACCGAACATATTTATTATTCAATCATTTATCTGTTATTTTGTCACAGTATTTTTATTTTGTTGTCAAATTATTTCAATTATGTATCCAGCTATTGGAACAATGTAATGGAGTTGCGTCTGTATAAGCCACTAGGCTTGTTCGCCTATCCAGGTTTCTTTGACGAAATAAAAATGTGCTTAAACCAAATATATCTTCTGTGTCGACATTGATTGGAAATGGGCATCCCATAGCCGATAATCGGATTGCAGAATGTGTAGATAGTAAATACATCTACTGTGCCGACAGTGATTGGAAAGGGCATCCCAATTTAGCGTGAAAACATCGCAACCTTTGATGTTTTAAGTACATTTACTCAACTGAAATCGCCCAGTGTCAAACTCGGTGTCAAAATGAAATTGTATTTAAAATGCACAAATGTACCCATTGTTTACCGTCGCCGAAATACCTTAGTTGTGCGTGCGACGTTAAATAAAGCAAATAACAACAACCCATTGTTTGTTAGTTTTTTGGTTTTATGGGGATTTTTTTTCTTTTTTGGGTATACATAACATAATAATTTTTCTGAATATCCATAACATATATTATGCAAGCTTAATGATGTTTCATTTTTCATATTTTACCATTTTTATTAGACATTTCCTGAAATTGTGTCACTGCCGTTACGAAATTTGTAACATCATTTTTAAAAGAAAAAATCCAAAGATAATGTTTATTTCATGTACATATATATGTACATATATTAAAATATCTAGTTTTACAATATAACATGGAGTTTTGAAATTGAATATTTATTGCTTATGAAAAAGACAAAAAAATTCAAATGCCACATCTGTGACATCAGCCACTTGAGTTGTGACACATGAACACTGAGTAAAATTGGGTGGTGTAAAGTAAATATAAAAATATAGTTTCCCTAATTTTGTTACTGTAAAGTGTAGAAAAATATTGTGATAAGTTAGTTACCATAATTTTTTTGGTTTGATTTTGACTTAAGTTTGTCGGATACAAACATCTGACATAAATATGCACGGATTTTGAGAATGACTCATATGTTGATATAATCTTGCTAATGTTATAATGAAATGAAATAAAACATGAGTCAACATCATACTTTGTTTTATATATGGTGCCGTTTTAGCCCAGAAATCAGTAGCCGTTTTCGCCAATATGGTGCCGTTTTTGCCACACAAATTTGGTGCCGTTCTGCTGTGGTGCCGTTTTAGCTATAACCCAAGTAAAACGTGTACTTACATTTCGTTGTATCCACAGAATTGACACATTAATATAATACAAGAATAGCACATAAATCCAATATAATGAATTCACGTTTCACCTTTGTTATGCCCAAGTTTCCAGTAACGAAAAATAATGTCGTCCTTCATCTTTTCGCATGTTTCCATGTGTGGAACATTTGTCAAGATTTTCAACACACATTAACCGCCTTTCACAGAGTGAATTCTGCTAACATTATGAAAACGGGGGCCGGTTTGGGTTAAATATCCAGGGGCAGGTTTGGGTTAAATATCCAGGGGCCGGTTCGGTTTGGGGCCGGTTCGGTTTGGTGTATTATCCAAACAATGAATAGTTCTATAAGAACTAGATATATTTCCCTAAATTATTTTAGTATCGCTTGCTGAATTCTTGTGCCTCCTCGATCCCTAGGCTATCGTTAGTTTTGTCAGGGTAGGTTATGCACAATCCTTTGCCCTTGGATCTTTGATAAAAAATGTTTGTGAACATATTCTATAATGTCTCCCAGTAACTACCTTCTTTGCAATAACTCAAAGCTTGATATAAATTGTAGATCTTACCTCATATTACATATGATTAATTAGTTAAGCAAGGTAACCATGGTAACTAACCCAAGCTCCACCTCACAACTAACCCAGTACATCCAAAATACTGCTTGATGATCAATTATAGCTCAGCCTTAGGGTCGGAAAAGGGTACTTCTAAACCTAAGGTTCATGATCATAAAGGGGATCTTAGATTAAGAGTTTAGTTGGGGGTAACCTACCGTAACGTGACTAACCCGAAGAATTGACAAAGCGCGGGAAATAAGTAAAGTTAGAACTATAGCTTATGTCAGTTTGAATGATTGTAACTGTAAGCTGGACCTGGAAATATGTATGTTTACCCTTGATTGCATCAACAAATGCATTAGGTAAAGTTAATCCTGTATCTGTTTGAGTTCAGCAGTTGTACACAATAAAATAAACTAGCATTGAAACTGATTACTAGTAACCTGAAACTGCTCTACAGTCAACAGAAAAAAATATAAATCAGTCAATACAAAATATACACTGTTTCAATAGAGGGCAAAGACATGATTAGAAATGTTGACTCAATCTCATGTTCAGTTATTTCTGTCAACTGTGGAAAAAAATGCGCTTTTAATGCCCGTGCTCTAAGTGCCATGCACAAAATCTGATTCCCCACATGGGTACAATGTGTGAAGCCCATTTCTCGTGTCCCTCATTGTGATATTGCTGAAATATTGCTAAAGGTGACATAAAACCAAACTCACTCACTCAGTGCTCAAAATGTTACAGGGTTAAATTCTTGAATCACCTGACTGGTGCCATGCAAAATCCTCCTCATGATGATCATCCGCCCTTTCACTTCCAGAGATTAACTGCACATCTTCATGCCAAGCAGACACCGCCTTACACAATCAACCTTGATCCTGCCATAAGAGAAGTGAGCTTCCCAGCCAACATAGGTAGGTAACTGTACTATTCACACTTTGCTAAGGATCAAATCATAGATTCAACAGAAAACTATTATGTGGGGTCAAATTGGATTTAAATATCTAAGCTTATTGTAAGCATGGATCCTAGGTTTCACTTTCAGTGTGTCATTTCAGCTTGTGGATCCCATACCTGCTATTGACAGATGTTGTGTACTTGTCAATGACTCGTTCCATGGTTCACAAAATGGTTGATTAGTGCCATGAAAACCATATTTTTATGGTTACTCATTTATCAAGTGCACAAGGTTAGATTAAAGTGACTGTTTGCCTAAAAATTGGTTACCATATTATTATTTATCCAGTTTTAAATGGATACAATATCAAATTATGAAAAATTTAAGTAAAGTTGTGAATTTTTGTGATCCTTAGCAAAGTGTGAGTTCTACTAATGATATTAGTGATGTCTGATATTATTTTGATAAATCATATTGATAAAATTAACTCATTTATTTAAAAGCATTTGGTCTTTATTATGTGACTGGTGTAAACTGTGTGGTATACTCATTGCTTAGTCTTGATTTATGTTCCAGTGATGATATGTTTCAAACAAATAGTTATACATTACTGTTGTTTTTGCAGATATCCGTGACACTGTGAACTACAAGGAGGTGATGAAACAGTATCCTTTGGCATGTTTTGTCTTGATAGTTGCTGATACATGATAACTAGTTAATGTAGGAATTATACATGTAAACAGAGCTTTAAAGACATGTATTTGTGCATCAAACAGGACATCCTCCTAATGCAAGGGAGCTAACTCACTATAAATGTTTCAGTCCTTGCCAAACTGGTTTGGAATTTTGAGAAGGAATTGTAAAACCACCAGTGTCAGGTGTGGATTATTTTCTGTTAACCAATCAATTTCCATTTCTCTTATATCACTCAAATAAGGGTTGGGTGGGGTTGTGTGCGAGCTGGCTAAGGAGCCAGGCTAGTGATCCAGCGAGCATGAGGTGCCGGGATTGAGTCGACCTGTGACTGGGAGTGAAAACCTTGGAGTCAACTTTGTGTGCAGACTCTTTCAGTGTTGTCCCAAGTGTACAGTACACAACCCTGTGCACTTAAAAGAACCCACGAATCTGTTGGTATTTGACCAGATGGTGGCCACATGAATGCGTGCTAACACCTAAACCGTAAACTTGGACAAAGTACTGTGACTATGTGTCCCAGTCCACCAAGCTGTGAATGGGTACCTCATAAGGATGGGAAAGTCGCGATAACCCGGTGTGCCTTGTGGCAGCAAGAGTTGTATACTCCCCAGGGAGTTGAGATTGATAATAAGATGTGCCATTGAGATTGACATCCAATGATCAAGGGAAAAAATTACCAGCGCCTTGAGCATGCACTAGTGCATTGATATGTGCGCTATATAAATATCCAATGATGAAATTTACTTCAAGCAAAATGGTGACTCACAGTCAAGACAATCTGATCAAGTTAATCAAAGAAAAGTTTCACATTCTCAGTTTCAGACACCCAGTGCACATGGATTTTAGCACAACACTGAAGCATGTTGATCAAGTATATGAAAATATTTAGAAAATATTTCTTAAGGCCCAGTTTTAAAGGTACAACAGCTTAAGTCTCAACTGAAGTCTGACAAACTGTGGCCTTGTTGTTTGTGAACACGATGTCAATTGTTATATGTTTTTCATTTGACTAAGCATAGACTCCATCGCCCAGCCAAAATGTGTCTCCAAATCTCAAAAATAGGTAGGCCATGGTGGAAACTGGACTTTCAAAGCCAGCTAACTCCTTACCTTAGCAAATACTAAATAGGAAGGCTAGTGATCAAACTATGTTAGGTATGATAAGGAATCCTGTTGTTCTGAAGGCATGGAGAATGGTAAGGGGAGGGAGGATAAGGATTCTTCTTGGAGAGTTTAAGGTGTCATGTTTTAAAGTTGTGACAAACTTTGAAAATTTGAAAAGAAAATTATCTGACATGTTGAAATAGCTTGAAATATTTATGTGGATCCGTTTGTTGTTGTTAGTAAGAATTATCTCCCTTAACAGTTTCCTATATACTCACTTGGTCCAAATGGCGGCATTGTGACATCACTGAATCTGTTTGCAACAAGATTTGATCAGGTTTGTGTTGTGTAAGCTGTAGGGAACTAAAGGAAAACCCATTGTTCTCCAGCTGTAAAAACATTCCAGCATGTTCATGATGTAATTTTTAAAAGAAACATGGTAATCAATCTGTGATGATGATGATAGTGATGATGATCGTGACGATGATGATGATAGTGATGATGATAGTGATGATGATGATGATAGTGATGATGATAGTGATAGTGATGATGATAGTGATAGTGATGATGATAGTGATGATGATAGTGATGTCAGATGATGATGACAGTGATGATGATGATAGTGATAGTGATGATGATGATGATGATGATGATGATGATGATGATGATAGTGATGATGATGAAAGTGATGATGATATCAGATGATGATGATGATGATGATGATGATGATCACCAAAATTTGTTAACCAGGTTGTTTGTCTTTGATGTTCTCATTCATAATTATTTTCTTTTCGCAGAAACATTCTTGAACTATAATTATATTGACTGGGTGATTATTTTTTTTCTGAGAGTTAGCTCTGTCAAGTTCACATGGTAAATTTCTTTGTTAAATATGTTGATTCTTTTAGGTCATGGGCTTTATTGAGAAGAGGTCTGCAGAATGTCGGTAAGCACAGAGCATGAATATTTTTGTTATGGTATGTTAAAAGCTTGCACGATCAACAAGGACAAAGAGCTCAGAGTGTTGACTACTTAGGTCATATGTACACAGACAGCTCCCAGTGATGCTGGAATACCAAATTGGGACATAGCGATGGGGTAGCCTAGTGGTTAAAGCATTGACTCGTAATGCTGAAGATCCCGGTTTGATTCCCTACATATGTACAATGTGTGAAGCCCATTCCTGGTCGTGATATTGCTGTAATACTGCTCAAAGCAGCATAAAACTAAACACACTCACTGGGACATAAGGTTTTGTTACTGGAGGTATTTGGTTGATTGTTCTGGGTGCATCTGAAATAGAGATTCTGTTGAGGGATGCTGTGGAGTAATCTGTGTCTACATTTACTCGTAACTAGACACATAGACGAGTAATAATGGAGGGCATTCTAAATGCCAACTTTGCAGGAGACATTGTGTACATAGTGTGATGTGTTTCAGGCATGTGATCATCGACACTCCTGGGCAGATAGAAGTGTTCACCTGGTCAGCTTCTGGCAGTATCATCACAGAGGCCCTGGTGAGTGAGTTAACCTGGACACTGCTAGTGCTGGAGCTGGCACTCTTTGTCAAAGTGTTATACAGAACTAGTGTTTATGATTCTATGATTTTGTTCCGTGGGTTGGAGGGGCAGTCTTTTGGTTAAATCATTCGCTATTGATACTGAAGTCCCATGCATGCTGTGTGCGAAATTTGGGTCCTGTGGTCGCTGGCTAGTAAAAATTCATCAGGACCACTAAATTAGTTTGCAGTGGTCCTGGTGGCCAGTGATTCTTTTTTATATATTCCTCCTTGGGGTACTTATAAGCATTTAAATGTCCATTTAAATTCCCTACGACAGTTGTAACAATATTTGAATAAAATATTTACAAAACAAAAACTACGTTTTGTCTTGTGAGACCACCCTTACAGGGCCTTCCGGCCCCCTACAGCCAAGAGCAGGTAACTCTAGACCGTAACCTCGTACCTCACTTTCCATGCTGTCGTTGTACCGACAAGACGTGGGTCCATACCAGAAGGTTTTTCCTTGCGACTAAGAGAGTTATGAGTGTTTCAGAAACTGCAACTGTATGTATGGTTCTCTTTTTTCCCTGCATGGGCGAATTGGAGGTTTTTTCTGAATTTTTTCATTCATAATTTCTCGTTGTAACTTGGTACCTGTCAGCGTCGGCTCGCTAGTGCGTGTCAAGATGGCGGACAGGTCCCTTCGCTAGCCTTCCTGTTCATTGGTTTCCCATGTGGTTTTCAATGTTACAGGTGGTTTTAGTGGTTTTTATTTGTATCTTTGTAACGTGTAGGGTATGTCTACTGCTCGCATTTTCTATATTACGCTAAAAAAGCGTGAATTGTTAGTTATGCTGCAGTGTGTACTAGGTTGTCAACTGCATGCCACGTTGTCGCGATTAGTTGTGTCGCCCATGCCTCTTTTTACATGTATTTGTATGTGGGTATAGGGTAGATTGCTGCACAGGTTTTTACTTGTTGCAGTTTAAACCCTGTACTTCGTGCCTTGCTGCAATTCCCCGCATGGGATACCCACGAGGTTCGCTTACGCTGTTTAGTGCAGAAGGAACATGAGGAAGAGGGGTGCGGCATGTGCCATGTTCTCGCCCCAAACCATTCGGCGAGGCGGATAGACACGCTGTTTTACAGCAACCTGCTTCGGTGGGGTGATCTCTGGGCACAGGATCCCCGTCCCAAGCTCCCCCATAGTAAAAAGGGGTCCACGGGGCCGCTTCCCACGCCGAGCCGGCTCCCAAGAAAGCTAAAAGCGCGACCAAGCGGCTTCGCCTTCACGCACTCATGCCCCTTCTGCATCTCCTACTGCTTCCGTCTCTGTACCCCACCCCCTCTTGATTCAGCACCTGTAAAAGTGTTCCTGTTGATTCGCTAACCGCTTTTTTCCAGGAGCAGATGTCGCCAGTCAAGTCCCTGATTGATACGGGCGTTAAGCGAGGGTTCCGTAAGGAGCTCAGCGCCCGGGTCGCCGGGGCGGGCTGACATCTGGGGGTTATTCGCGGCCCGAAGCCGGCTCGGAGAACGCCTCCCGGGCGGCTTAATCCTGGCTTCGCCCTGGTGATGGCATGCCCTCGGCGCCTGGTGGCGATCTGGCTTTATGCTGGTCTGTCACAGGTGCCTGGTGCCGGCGATACAGGTTTGCCCCTGTCATTGCCTGGTGTCCCGACTGGCGGTCGCCATAGGCGCCCGACCAGTTCGGGATACCTCGGTGCCTGGCAGCCAGTCTGGGTTGCCGGGAAGCCTGTTGCGCAGGTTCCTCTCGGCGACTTCGGCGACCTGGCGCTGGTTCCTCCCGCAGGGCGATGTTTTTCCCCTGGCTCCTCTTGACCTTATGAGTTTTTCTGGTCCTGCCTCTGGCGTCTCCTCGGCGTTCTCTCAGGAGTCTGAGATTATGGCGGCCGAGGATTCTGCCGAGGTCGATATGGAGGAGGAGGAAGGGACGGTGGAATCGGAGGCGGGAGTGCCGTACTCCTTTGCCTCGTCACTGGCAGGTTCGGGATAAGATCGCCGGTCCTGCCGCGAGGTGGCTGTTCCCGCCCCGGCACCCGACCCAGCGAGTTTTGGCTCCCGGGGGAGGCGTTCGCACCTAACCGGGTCGCAGAGGCACGCCTACGCATTCTCCCATCACTGGTCAGTGAGGTGGTGAATCCGCTCCTGGCTGGTACTCGCTCGCGTTTTGATTTGCCTGACGTCGGCAGGCGGTACCAGTTAGGTGAGGAGACGCTCTTCGAACCACCAGTGGTGGACGAGTGCGTCTTTGCCTCAGTCACGTTAGGAGGGTCGTCTTCGTCCTCCCTGGCCTCGGCCAGGCAGGGCAGGCGCCTCCCCCCTTTTCCGGCTAGTACGTCACTGCCGCTGAAGTCTGCCTACCGGTCATTCGAAGAATGTTACCGGTGCGCGGCCCAGCAACTTAAAGTAGCCATCCATTCAGCCTACCTGTCTGCGTTGCAGGGACAGCTGGTGGCCCACAGGGCTTGCGGTGCCGATTCATCGGAGTCGGTGCTCGCTCGGCAGTTAACGGATCGATACACTGCATCTGGCTCGACAGCATTCGGTGCTGTGCCAGCCAGATGATGGGTGCCGCCATGGGCTTGCGCCGCCTGTGGCTGTCTGTGGCGCTGGTATTCGCCGGCCACACAGCAAGCTCTACTGTCATTGCCCTATACCATGGGATCTTCCCTATTCCCTGGGGCCTTGCAGGTGGTAAGGGAGGCCGCGGAGGCTGTCTCTACCTTTAAGGACTCAAAGCCTTTGTTGGAGCAGCCCTCCGCTCCACGCCATCCGTCCTCCCCGCTAGTGCGTCCGCTTACCCTTCTGCCTCGGCGAAGGATGTTGTTAAGTGGGCTGCCCCTTTGCAGTCCAAGCGGAGCAGGCGCACGAGAGGCAGGGGCAAGCCTGCTCCAGCGCAGCAGTCTTTTCGGGGCAAGGGGAAGCCAGCCCCGGCTTCCCACTGATTCATTCCCCAGAGCCCTTGTTGCCCCCCACTCACGCAAGCGGAGACTTGCCGACGGTGGGGGTGCACTGCCTCTTGCCACACGTCCCTGTCGGCGGCCGGCTGTCCCTATTCCTCCGGGAGTGGGAGGCAGCCACCTCAAATCCCTGGGTCCTGCATGCCACAGCCCTCCGTGCCGGGGTTCGGCACGCCTGTGCGACAAAGCGGATGTCCTCCGTGCCGAGGTTCAGTCTTTACTGACCAAGGCGGCCATCGAGGTGGTTCCTGTGAGTCAGCGAGAAGAGGGGTTTTATTCCACCTACTTCCTTGTGACCAAAAAGGATGGAGGGTTCAGACCCATTCTGAATCTCAGAGGGCTGAACAAATTACTGGAGGTGCCGTCTTTCAGGATGGAGACACTCAGGTCAGTGATCTCCTCCGTCGAGACAGGGGATTGGCTTACGTCAATCGATCTCAAAGACGCATACCTCCATGTTCCAATGCACCCAATTCAAGAAGTACCTCCGGTTCTCCTTCGGCGGGGCGTGCTACCAGTTTCGCGTGCTCTCCCTTCGGCATCTCCACGGCGCAAGGGTGTTCACCAAACTTATGCTAATCCCAGCTCAGTTAGCCAGGTCTCAGGGCAGGTGTTGTCACCCGTACCTGGACGATTGGCTTCTACGGGCCTTAGGGCCTCAGTTAAGCAGAGCCTCCACACTGTGCGTGCTGGATACTCTGGTGTCACTGGGCTGGATTATCAATCTCAAGAAATCAGACCTCGTTCCGACGCAGGATCTGATATTCTTGGGAGCCAGGTTCAACACGGCGCTTAGGGATTGTTTCCCTTGCTCCGACCGCATCGCCAAAGTCCGAAGGACTGTGTTACAGTTCCTCCAGTCCCGCGTTCGTCGGCCCGAACATGGCTTTCGGTTTACACGGCAACATGGCGGCGACAGTGGGCGTGGTTTGGCGTCTTGGCGCTTGAGGATGCGCACCAATTCAGCAAGCATTAGCTCAGCTGTGGTCCCACTCGCAGGGCTACGAGATTATGCTCATAACGCCAGAGTGGTTAATCCCTCACTTGCGATGGGTGGGCGGACGCCGGGAATTTGTCCAGGGGATCCCCTCGACACCCGACACCCTCCCTCTCAGTTCAGACGGACGCCCCCTCACAGGTTGGGGTGGTCCTGGGCTGAGCACTCAGCCTCCGCCTCTGGTCGGAGCGGAGGTCAGCCTACACATCAATGTGTTAGAACTGAGAGCAGTCCGCCAAGGTGTTCGAGTGCTTCCGGGTGTTGGTGCAGGGCCGCGTGTGGTTCGATCTAGAAATGGACAATCAAACAGCCATGTCTTACATTCTCAAGCAAGGCGGCACAGTGTCTCCGTCGCTCCTTCAGGAGGCGTGGCAGTTTCTACTGTGGTGCGATCAGTTCAACATTCGGGTTTTGCCTGTTTATCTCCCGGGGGTAGACAACGTCCGTGCAGATGCTCTCTCACGCGCGTGATACTAGCCCCACACGAGTGGATGCTCGACCGGGGAGATATTCGGGATTATCTCCCTAGTTGTTCGGTCGTTCCAGGTGGATCTGTTTGCGTCTGGGGTGACGAACCAGATTCCTGTGTTTTGCTCCCGATTCGGATCCGGGTGCGTTAGCCAACGGCTTTCAGCTAGATTGGACGGACAGGGTACTGTATGCGTTCCCCGATACCACTGATTTCCAGGGTCCTGTCGCAGCTGACCGCGACAACCAGCTCGGCTACTTGTGCTTCTGGCACCCCTTTGGTCGGCACAAAGCTGGTTTCGGTAATTCTCAGGTTTCTGGCTCAGCCTCCTGTTCTATTACCTTTTCGACCGGACCTCCTATCCCAGAACGGGCATACCCGAATCCCAGGATTCAGTGGGTGGCTTGGCAGCTATCAGGGATCGCCTCCATGCGAAGCGAATTCCTGCACCAGTTGCAGACACAATTCTGGCTTCGCGGAGGGATTCGACAAACGTTCAATATGAGGATAGATGGGCCTGTTATTCGCGCTGGTGTGTCAACAGGGGGATTCTTGATCCCTTTTCT